ATATATATAAATATAGTCAACAGAAAATTTTAGGTTTCCAGAATGAGTGTAATTACGGTGTGTGAGACAGTATGAAAATAAGCCAACGAAAGGGGCGGTCTAGACATAAGTTCAAGGTTGAAAATAACGACAATAAGAATGACTGTGAAATAATAACGATGATATGGTGTAAAATTACAAGCACTATTGGTGGATGATTGTCAAATAATAATAATAAATATAATGAGGTGGAATGGATTTTGTAAATACGATAGCAAGCTAGAAAAGCACTACTTAAACCTAAGGTAATAAAATCATAAGAAAGGTCATGAAATCATAAAAGTCGAAAATGAACAATTGTCAGTGAAACAGAGGAATAGAAGAAGAAGAAGAAGAAAAGAAAATTGTGAAAGGAATTTATAGTGTTAATGGAGGATTTGTTGGCTTTATTTGTAGGCCAAGGTAAACATAGTGGTTGAACATACTTCTTCTGTATGCAAAGAGATGGTCTTCTGGTATTAATTGGCACCGCTTCAGCTACTGATAGAAGACGCAGTCGAGCTCCTCTATATAAATTACTAGGAACGCGGTAAATAACTGAGAGCGCCTGGTTAAGTTTTATCGGGTGTCCAGTATCTACCAAGTGGGCTAAGACTGCAGTATTTACACATTTGGTTACTCCTTTACTCAACCATACAGGTACATGTTCACGCGCGTGCATGGATAAATCCCTCCGAGTAAGGCCAATATAACTAGCTCCACATGAGCAGTTGAATTCATAAATGCACATTGATGATGCCATCTTTGGTAATTTATCCTTTACTCGCTGTGTGAGCACTGGTTTAGTTGAGAAGTTGAGTACCAGTTTAGCTGCAGGAAATGTTCTATCTACTGCTCTATTAAGTTGACATTTTAGAATTTCAGCTGCAATTTCCCCTTTGTAACTTAACTTAAGGTACAAAGGTTTCTTGTCTACGGTATCAACCTTTACCTTGTCTGTAGGTATTGACATATACTTTTTTAGGAAGCTCTGTGGATATCCATTTTCTTGCAGTGTGAGTTTCAGTTTATGCATTTCTTCCATAATGCATTCCTCTGAACATATACGTCTTATTCTATAGCTAAGACACTTAACTAGGTTTCTTTTGTACTGAATCGGTGCGAAGCTATGGAAATGGGTGTACTGACCCATCCAAGTTTTCTTTCTAAATGATTTTATTTGTAGATATCCGTCTGTCTTCATGGTAAGGAGGACGTCTAGGAAAGGTAAACTGTTATTGTCTTCTTCTTCACATGTAAACTGAATAGTTGGGTGAACACTATTGACAGCATTGAGAATCTCTTGTTTATTAAGATTTACATCACAAACGATAAAGGTATCATCTACTTATCGACGATAGAAGTCAAACTCTTTAATCGTGTCTTTGAGTGGACCATTTTCAAGCTTTGCCAGGAAAATATCCGCTAGCATAGGGCCCAGAGGTGATCCCATGGCTACACCATCAACTTGTCTATAAAAACCATTATTGAACATAAACTGAACATTCATAGTGCACTTCAATAATAATTCTTTGACTTTTTCAGATGGGATTCCTTCATCTATCTTTCTTTCTAACAGCTGGTCATATATGTAGTTGACTGTTTCAAGCAGTGGGACGTTGGTGAATAATGATGATACATCCAGTGACATCATTTTCTTTCCCTTTACACTCAGACTTTTGGTACTATTGGTTATGGTTATTTTAACTAAACAGGTGAAGATTGGTAATTGGAGTTACGTAATACAAGATTAGTCAAGCAAATTGGTTGTTAATGAAATTAGAGTAATAGCAAAGGTGATGAGTTGTCACAAACAGTTGTTAAAGAGGAGTTACGTAATAATATGAATAGTTTGATGATTGAGTTGTACTCAGGATAAGGCTTTCGCCTGTTTCTTTAATTGCTTATAATTCTTGTATTCATTTAGAAATCTTACGTAATTTCGTATTCTCTACTTTGTTCCTATGTGTATCCTGAGTAAAACTCAATCATCAAACTATTCATATTATTACATAACTTCTTTTTAACAACTGTTCGTGACAACTCATCACCTTTGTTACTACCCTAATTTCATTAACACCTAATTTTCTTGACTGATTTTGTATTACGTAACTCCAATTACCAATCTTCACCTGTTTAGTTTAAATAACCATAACCAATTGTAATTTTGTTTGACAAACTTAATGTACACATACATACAAAATAACACATATATATATTTGCGATTGTACAGCTAAGAAAATGAATTCGCCGCCGAAAAGAGACTCTTCGTTGAACTACGTGTTTTGTTTTCATTGATGCCTGGATGGGATTATCCTGAACTTTAATTTTCTGCATAAAACTATATATACTACTGATTCATTGAGTGAGATAAGTAGTTGTATACCACTTACATCAACCACTGGTATGCGTCGTTGGTTCAGTAGTAGAATGCTGGCCAACTACGCACGAGTAGTGGGTTTGATTTTTGGCCAACACACTCCTATGCCTCGCTTAGCCCATAGTAAGCTTGGTAAAGCGGGAAGGTTGAGCTACTGTGAGGCTAGCAACCTCACCCAGTAAACGACAAAGTCACCGCTACTAAAACTTCAAAGCTAAAGATTGAGGTCGCTGGGAACGCAAAGGCATTACATAAGTCATGATAATACCAGCCAGTTGTGTTCGCTAGCCAGCTCATTGCATGTGGTTGATATACAGATAGATTATAAAATTTGTGAGGATTCTGAATTAATTTTAATTGTTAGATTTTTCTCATGAACCCAGCATCAGTTAGAAAGATCACTGAGAACCAAGAGGGTACAGGATTGGATGTGTCGTCCTACTTTGAGAATCCTTTGCAAGTGTGCACCCACCATCACCGGACGTTGGGATCAAACTCCAGGACCTCCAAGTTACAAAACCACTCTCTTGATGAACATTTAGCCACTTGGGCTAGATTTTGTTATCAGTACAAAAACCTCAAATGCGACAGTAAACTTTTCTTGACAAAGGAGCACAGAGAAGAAATAAAAAAACTGATAAATGATGAGAGACTGATAATCACAAAGCCTGATAAAGGATCAGGAGTAGTTGTCCTTGATAGAAGCGGCTATATTAAAAAGTTAAATGATTTATTGAAGGTTTCAAAAACTTGAGGAGAAGAAAGATTTCAATAACAAAATAGAGAATGAAATAATTAACCAGACGTTTGAAGAAACTAAGGGAGGAGCAGATAATTTCTGAAAGTTTATATGAAGAAATCAGACCAACGAGCACGTATACACCAAGATTGTATGGCCTACCTAAAGTGCATGAACAGGAGGTACCGTTAAGACCAATACTTGATATGCAAAATTCGCCCTACCATGCTACAGCCTTTGCATGAGAAGATAGTGAAACAGAGCGTCAAAGATATATTTGAATTCGTAGACAAAATCAAAGATATTAATATCAAGGACAAAACCATGATATCTCTGGACATAACATCGTTATTCACAAGTGTACCTCTAGTAGAAACAGTTAACTACATGTGTGAACAAGTGGATAACCAGTCGATAAACATTGGCATCCGTACTGAAATCCTAAAAGAATTTTGTTATTAAGGTGTACCATGAATGTAAATTTCAAATTTGACGGCACGCTATACAGACAAGTGGATGGGGTGGCGATGGGCTCCCCATTGGGTCTTATTTCGGCAGATTTCTTTGTAAGTAAGCTAGAAAATGGACCTTTGAACAACCTTATCAGAAAGTTCTCATTTTATTGCCGGTATATGGATGACACCTTCATTCATTGTGATAATGATTCGGATAGGAGTACAATAATTACTGAATTCATTGAAGTACATTCGGCTATGAAATTCACGTGAGAAGAGGAATCCCAAAATAGAATTGCCTTTCTGGATGTTCTCCTTACAAGAAAACCAGATGGTAGCATAAAAAGAAATTTGCATAAAAAAGTACATGGACAGGACAATATACACATTTTCACAGCTTCGTTCCTATCAAGTACAAAAGAAATTTAGTAAAGACCCTCAGCCACAGAGTTAGAGCTACATGCTCAAAAGAAGCAATTGAAGATGAATTAAGCATGTTATTTGATACTTTAATCGAAAATGGTTATCCTGACAAATTTATCAAGTAACACATGACAAAGAAAGCGGAAAAGGACTACTCACTATCCGTAAACAAGAAGCCACTTTATATACGACTGCAATTCAAAGGCGATAGACCAAGTGAGATAATAACGAGGAAATTAAGGAAAACAGTTCAAAGAACTTTTATTGCTGACGAACCACACGACCGATGATGATTCCTCGACTGGAAGGTGAAGTACCTAGACTAGCTAGCCACTTCCAATTGTATTTAACAATTCAACTGCGCTTGTGGAGCGAGTTTTGTTGGCCGTTGCTCTAGGAACTTGATTTTTCGTGCTTGCTCAGGAACATCTCCCACTATGGTTAAGTAAAGGTGTTGTGAAAACCATTAACAGTTCGATATTAGACCATCTGGTGCAAACCGGCCACAGAGCCAGCCAGCATTGAAGAATCCTTCTCTATCATCTACCGGGTGCCTAATAAATTGCCAAAAACATCGAAACACCTTATGCTCCAAACAGCAGAGGCTATCGCGATTCGCCTCAAACAACCAGTGCTCTATGTGCAAAAAGAGACATGTCCAGCCACTACTGCTGCCCTGACCCGCCTTCAGTAGAAACTATAAATTCATGAATTTGTAATATAATCTTTCCTAATTTTTCTGACATTCATTTTATTGTTATGTTGATGCAAATGAACTGTAATCTACTGATATTATTACTATTATTATTGATTCAATGTTATTTAAACAACATTAATGTTGTTCATAACACTAATTCATTCATTCACTATTATGTACATATAATTGTAGAGCCTGATGATGAAGAGCAGGTTATCGAAACGAGTATTCTTTCTTCAGTATCCATTCTTTTGAAAATCATCTAATTGTCTGTTATTTTTCTTTCAGGTACACGAGTTGATGCAACACCATTCCAATGGTCAGAAGATTCACCACCCTATGAAGATTATTGTCGTATACTAACTGACTGTGGATTTAATCATTGGGGTACAGAGACAATGATGTCTGGATCAACTGGACGTCAATTAGAAGCACAAATTTATATTGGCGTAGTTTATTATCAACGTTTAAGACACATGGTAGCTGATAAATACCAGGTAGGCAGCCATTATTGCACACTGTCTGTTCTAAATAGTGTATTTTTCGTTTATATTTTCAGCCTAGAAAAACAATGATGTTCTGCTTTTTTTAAGTTCAATTGATTATCTGTTATTGAGACACAAATTTGGTACATTGTAGGCACCAAAAGATGCTACACACAAAATTGCATAGTTTGCGCTGGAGCTGGGGGATACTCTCCGGACGTCCAGATTGAAGTAGGTGGTTGTCTTAAAAGACCCTCCCCCCCACAGAGCCTTTAACTTGAAGTCTGATCCAATGGAGGCAATGGAGCTGCTTCTTCCCATGGTTAGCAGTGACCTTAGCAGGTTCACACGCCCATGTGCGCCATATATTTTAGGTTAGGGTTTCCCGGCTCTCAGTCCATCTGTAAGCGCCAGACATTCTCATTCGCCCTTTCACTTTGTGAGGAGCATCACCGCCGAATGAAGGTAGTGACTATGGACGCATGGCCATATGAGAGCTTTTCGAGAGGAAAATCGAAGTCTACTCACTCTCATCCGTACCAGGCGTTCCAAATGATTAAAACTTGATGAAAGGTGTAATATTCAATTCCATATTAGTTTGTTTATTGGATGTATAACACAGTTAGTGAAACAGTATTATTTACTGGATGACAAGGTTTCGAACAAAATTTATTACTGTTCATAATCATATCAATTGTAATCACACAACTTTGAGTTTTATAGTTTTCTTTGTTCTCTCCTATTTGTTGCCGTTGGGGTAGTAGAATTTTTCAGATGTCAAGGTGGACAGGTGTTGAATCATTCCCATTACACGTATTCTCTTCAGTTGATTCGATAAACAAGATCCTTTAACCGACAAAGCTTGTTTCTAATTGAGTTTGTGGGTTTGAATGCCATTTTTATTCCTGCCTTACGCAGAATTCTTAACAAGGCAGGAATAAAAATGGCATTCAAACCCACAAACTCAATTAGAAACAAGCTTTGTTGGTTAAAGGATCCTGTAGAGCCTTTAAAACAAAACAATTTAGTCTACCTAATACCCTGCCTTCAGTGATTGTCAGGTCAAATTAGTAGAACAGCGGCAGTCAGACTAGCTGAACATAAAAACTTAGCAAAATCTAGATTGGTTGACCCGAATAAGATAAGAAATCTAGAGAATAGTTCAGCTATAGCACTACATGCAGTTACACACAACCATACAATATGATGGATGGGATAGGATGACAGTTTCAAAATCTAATACAACTAACAAGGTGGAGGGAGAGATTGGTAGCAGAAGCTTTGTTTATCGAATCAACTGAAAAGAATACGTGTAATAGGAATGATTCAACAGCTGTCCATCTAGACATTTGGAAACTTATACTACCCCTACTACGACAAATAGGAGAGAACGAGGAAAACTATGAAGCTCAAGTTTCGAAGTCGGGTGTGATTATAATTGATGAAATGATTAGGAACTATACTAGATTGTGTTCGAGGCGTCATCTAGTAAATAATAATCCTGTTTCACTGTGTGATATATCTAATAAACAAACTAATATGGAATCACTTACTATCACGGTGCCCAAGTTTTACACATATATTAGTGTAATATTAAACTTTTTGCACTGCAGGTAGAGTGTACACAGAATAGGAAGTTGGCATTTTAAGTATATTATATATATAGGCCATCAGTATTTTGCTGATAATTCTTCACCACAACTTAACGGTTAGTAGTCACTCATTGATTCACACTATTATTACCTTACCTATAGTTGTTGTAGTCAACGTTTTTCATATTCTAGCAGAATGTGCCTCTAAACTGAATGAAATTATTTGTCCCTAAAAGGTGACTAGCAGCTGTATACAGGGATACCCATTTCATTCTATTTGAGACTCGTCAAATGAATGTACCTGCATCCCCAATGACTGGTGGTATTTCCACTGGGACTCGATCTCAGAATCGTGTTTCAGGCGTTTGATAGCGACGGTTCCGGCGAAAATTGAAGAGAATGGTACTATTTCGTTGATTGATAATTTCAATGGATTTCAGAGTGCTCCATCCCATTATTATTATTATTATCGTTTCCTTTAATTCTTAGAGGAACATAGGGCTTCAGCCACATGTCTCCATTGCGTTCGGTTCTCTCCAAGACTTTTCACCTGGCTCCAAGTCTGCCCACACGTTTTCATTTCCCCTTCACATGACCTCCTCCAAGTCACCCTTGCACTGACGACCAACTCGCCGCTTCCCTTTCGGGTTCCACTCGAGCAATGGCTTGTCTAGTGATGTCACTTGATGGTTTGTTTCCTCAGAGTATGGCCAATCCACCTCCATTTCTTCCTGCCTATTTGTTGAACAATCGGTTCCTGGTTAGTTTGCTCATTGCCAGAGATCTCTGTGGCTGATCTTTTCTGACCGGCCATCTGATCTTGAGTATTGAGCGAAGACAACTGTTAATGAAGGTCTGTAGTTTGTTTGAGGTGCTCTTCATCACGTGGCACCAAGTCTCTGATCCGTATAGTAGCACTGACTTCACATTGGAGTTGAAAATCCAGATCTTATTTTTGATGCTGAGTAGTGCTGTTGACCTCCACACAGGCTTGAGAGTAGTGAAAGCTTGTCTTGCTTTTCCGATTCTTGCTTTGATATCCTCGTCAGTCCCGCCTGTAGTTGAAACAATGCTTCTCAGGTAGTTAAAACAAGGTAGTTTCTTTCAGGTTCCTTCCATTTATGCTGATTGTTGTTGTTTTTGTTGTCCAAGAATCTTCATCACCTGTTTTTTCTATGTTCACCTGAAGTCCTATTTTTGATACTTCTTCTTCCAATTTGTTGCTTTTCGCTTTCATATCTTCCAGTTTGTGGGTAATCAGACATTCAGCCTGTATCAATGAGATGCCTGGGAATGTCACTATTGTAAGCGTTTTTATTCCCTTGAGACACTTAGGCTTTTTGATGCATTTTCAGAAATTTGAAGGCATGTCCTTGTTTCTATTCTCCCAGTGTAACTGCTCCCGCAGATACATGTAAATTTGTATACACGGGGTTACAGTTAACTTGCGAAGGGTATCTGTCAGTCTTTGATGATTACATCAAAGGGCATGTTGTCCAATAAACGGGAACCAACTAACTTAGTTGCAAGATAGGTTCTGGCTAGTGAAGTATGAAGTCTTCTGTGTTAATATTATATCATCACTTGGTCCAAACACGCCATAAAGTCAGCATCGAACAGTCATTTTCATTCATCTAGCGGGTAACGTATAAATCATCGCAAAGGCTTCTAAATTCTGAACCCTGCAAACAGCAAACACCATTGCAATTCGCCTAAAGTAACCGGTGTAAAAACAGAAGACAAGGGCCAGGCAACAGATCGTTTATCAAGGAAATCAACACGTATTTACAGATTTTCATGTACATTATTATTGGACAAACGCAGTCTTCTGATTGGCCGTTTCTCACTGAAAGTTAATCTTTCATCTCTTTGTGGCTGTTTCTTGAATGTCAGAACATCTCTCTGCTAATCGTATCCGCCTACGCAAATCTGCTATGATCAGTTGTTCAGTCAGCCTTTGTTCTTGTTTTCACATGATGTCTACCAATTCGGCTGGCAGCCAGCTCTCACCACACCGGTAGTCTGTGTGCAACAAAATAAAACAAGTCCAGTCATTGTTGTTACTCTTGCCTGTTGTGGCATCTATGCATTCAGAAACTCGGTATATATTTTTTCTCTCTCTTAATTTATCTGATATTCACCGAAAATACCCAATGAGTAGTCATGAAGAAAATAAAAAAACAAATTCAGCGAAGAAAATTTTCTTTATCGACGAAATCATCTTCACAGGCTGGCTGTACACAGTCGTATTTATATTTACCAAAAATGTGCATAGTAGTCTATTATTGAGTAATAGGGTGAGGGGTGACATAATTGATATAATTGCTCGGAAGTGGCTTTAGAAGTAAAAAAATAAAAGTTGTAAATTGCGTGGTGCTCAACGGCACAAAGGTAGAAATTTGATAAGGTTAAAACTGCTATCGAGTGAGTGAGAAGAAAGGTGGTAGTGTAACGACAGAAGGCAAGAGTCAGGCAACAGATCATTTATTAAGGAAATCAACGCATATTTATATATTTTCATGTACATTACTATGGATATTTAAGTAAACAAACACAGTCTTCCGATTGGTTGTTTCTCACGTAAAGTTAATCTTCCATCTATTTGTGACTGTTTCTTGAATGTCAGATCATCTATATGTTAACTGTATCCGCCTACGCAAAGTCTGCTGTGGTCGGTTTTGAATCAATCTTTGTTCATATTTTCTCACGACAAATCTTGGGAACGTAAATGTTGACGTAAATTACTGTCTACCAATTTGGCTAGTTGACAGTTCTCACCACAGTAGTTGAGTGTCAATTTAACAAGTGTGAAGAGAGTGTGAAAATGTACAAAAGGAATATATGAGAGTGATAATAGTGAATTAATTATTAAAGCGAAGGCAAACTAAAAGTAAAATTTAAAAAAAATTTTTTTTTACAGAGAATGACTAGTGAAGAGGTTAAGACCAAAGTAGAATAAGAGACTGGACAAACGTTTTCTGTATACAGAGTTCGGAGTTGTCTTGACGAATTGCCAACGACTCCGCTATACACAAAAGCCGAAACCTGACTCCCATTGTACCATTTGGTCTCACCTTGTAGATGATCTTGAAATATGACTCTGGTGGACCTACGTGGACTCATTTCACCAAATGCTCGAGAATTGAGCTAGTCATTGTCTTGCATTATCCTTTTGCTAACCATGCCGGATAATGTTCAGAGATGCGTTTGGAAAGTTTGCGCTTTATGCGTGTGTGTGCGGCCAATATAACTAGCTCCACACGAGCAGGTGAATGTATAAACACACATTGAATTAGTCACTCCAGTGCGACAGTTTATCCTTCACACATCCATTGATCATTTGTCGGCTGTAATAGACTACTATACACATTCTTGGTAAATATAAATACAGCTGTGTACAGCCCCTGAAAATGATTTCGTTGATAAAGCACAGCCCTGTCTAGGACGTATCCTGCAGCGTTATTAGTCTCTCTATCCCGAACAACCTCTTCACTGGTGCAATCAAATATTGACAAGTACCCCTCACATGTTACCTCCAACTGTGTATACCAATTCACATGTATCTGCGGGAGCAGTTACATTGGTAGAACAGAGAGGAGGGCCTACGTCAGATTCTGCGAAAATGTACCAAGGAGCCTCCGGTTAAACGGACCGAATTATTTAAGCTTTTCAATCGCCAAACACCTGATTGACACAGGACACCAAGTAGATATGCTGGAATCATTCAAAATAATTAAGAGACAAAGCACCTCAAGTATTCTCAGGTTTGCTGAAGCTATAGCAATAAAACGATTGAGGCCTGACTTATTTGTGCAAAAAGAATCCGTTGTTGGACTTCAGTTACCCTGGTTACTCACCTCTTAGTAACTCTTTGTTTTCTAATTTTGTTAACTTATGTTTTCACTCACCCCCCCCCCCTTTTATCTTTCGCTTGACTCTCTTAAGAGATAATTTTTCTTGATCTTCTGAATTCTGCTCACTGTATTACATCATCAACTTCTCATGGGCACCGTAATTTAAAAAAAAAATTTTGATCTTCTCTTATCTAATTACGTAACTATTGCTAATTGTCTTTTTTTACCACCCTAACAACACAACTGTTAACTAATTTTTTCAAGAAATTTCTCTCTACCAAGATATATATACATATATATGTATATGTCGTGACACTTTAGACACTGTATATCTCAATGCCTTATTTTACTATGACGCTCTGACACTATGCTTGCTAATGGACAAAGGTTGTACGCAGCTGATGAGAACAAACGAAATAAAATGGATCCAGATTATTCTGCGCCAATGTTTCTTCTTTCTTTGTTCAAATTTATAAAAGGGAATCATTGTATAAAATTTTCTTCGCTGAGTTTGTCTTTTATCTGATAAACAAAACATGTAGTTCAACGAAGATTCTCTTTTCGATGGTGAATTCATTTCTTAGCTGTACAATCGCAAATATATATGACGGTTATTTTGTATGTATGTGTACATTAAGTTTGTCAAACAAAAATACAATTGGTTATAGTTATTTTAACTAAACAGGTGAAGATTGGTAATTGGAGTTACGTAATACAAAATTAGTCAAGAAAATTAGGTGTTATTGAAATTAGGGTAGTAACAAAGGTGATGAGTTGTCACGAACAGTTGTTAAAAGAAGTTATGTAATAATATGAATAGTTTGATGATTGAGTTTTACTCAGGATGCACATAAGAACAAAGTAGAGAATACGAAATTACGTAAGAGTTCTAAATGAATACAAGAATTATAAGCAATTAAAGAACAGGCAAAGAAACAAAATTAAGTCATCAAAATCAACAAAGTTGTTACCATGACAGTAGAAGTGGTTGAGTAATTCTCTTTTGTATGCACAGCTTCGGTTTTTCTATGTGAATGGCCAGAGCTTCAGCGATACAAAGAAGACGAAACCGTATTGCCTTTGGTAGGTTATTCTTGACTCTGTAGATTACTTTGAAGGAGGCGTTTGTTGAGATGGAATGATCAGTGTTAACCAGGTGTTCAATTATCTCACTCCTTATTGCACCACTGTTGCCTTTTCGCAACCATGCTGGATAGTGTTCTTGAATCCTCTTGGACAGGATGCGCGTCGAAAGACAGATGTACCTGGTTCCACAGCAGCAGGTGAACTAATATATACAAATAGAAGTGGTCAGATGCAGGATCTTGTCCTTGAGGCTTCTGTAGATCAGTGGGTGACTGGAGAACTTCATTCTTAGCATTGCTGCAAAGAATGTTCTTCTCAGAGATGATGTGATCCTTCTCTTGAGAATATCGCTTGTTAAATCTCCCTTGAAATCCAAGCTCATGTAGAGTTTCGTTTTTGGTGCAAGTGAAGTTTCATTTCTCCAAATTCTTGGTTTGATATTTTTGTCAGTGAATCTTATTGGGTATCCATTTTGGATGAAGATTTCTCTCAGAATATCTAATTCTGTTGCTAGGATGTCGGGACTACAGATGCGTGGGATGCGGGTGGCAAGTGATTTAATTATAGTTCGCTTTTGTTGAATGGGTACCCAGCTATAGAAGCTTGTTAATTGACCATTCCAAGTAGCTTTTCTATGGATGGATCTTCTTAGACTCCCATCAGTTCTTCTTGTTAGTTCCACATGCAGAAGGTGGGATTTTTGATTCGTTTTCCATTTCAAGAGTGAATTGTATTGCTGGCTGGCAACAGTTAAATGTCTTCAGCAGTAGATTGAGGTCATTGTTGTTGTCACAAATAATGAATATGTCGTCTACTTATCTCTTATACAGTCGTAAATTGTCAATGCTCGGCTTTAGTGGACCTTTCTCGAGGCTTGCCACGAAGCAATCTGATAGTAGTGGACCCACTTTAGGGTTACATATATGCATATTATCACTTACGGATACTTTTGTGAATATACAACTATAGAACCTGAGGAAGAGGTTATCCCAAAGTCAGTTAAAACCGAAGATGACTGTCATCATTATTAACTGGTCACTTCGCTTAGTCATACTTTTTTCACTTTTTATATATACAAACTTCTCACCTTTTTTTCACAATTTTAGGTTCGTGCTGAAGGTCGTTTTGATCCGATACTTAGACAACCAATTAAAGGACGTAAAGTTGGCGGTGGTATTCGTCTCGGTGAAATGGAACGTGATTGTTTATTATCACATGGTATAGTTTTCAGTTTACAGGATCGTTTAGTCGACTCGAACTGTGATAAAGTTAAGGTGGGTACTTGTTGTTGATTTCACCTTTCTCACTTTCTCTTCTCTTTTTTTCAGGGCTTCTTTTCTTATCCGTGTTTTGCTTATAAAAAAGGCAGTCTGACTTTCATAGATCTTTGTGATCGTGAAATCGTGATAAATTCTTCTTTTTCTTAGGTTGTATAGCAAGATGGTACATACTACTGATTGGTTGAAATGAGTAGTCAGATCTCCCCCATATCATAGAGCTAATTTGATCCCATGTCATACCAGTTCGCCTAACTATACATCGAATGCTAGGAAATGAAAGGAAATCAATAGGCGAGTTTGTGAAGTTAAATCGATTGAGTTGGTTAGGACACGGGTTACATACGAATGTCTAGTCATCGCCTACCTTGGCGGGCAATGTTTGCTGACTGACATAGGATTCATCAGGTTGGAAAAGAACTGCTAGTGGTGGTCAAACCAAAACATGGCCTCATCAGTCAATGAAATTCACAACAGTTAGGTTTAGTCAGTAACGCAGGGAGGTGTAGACTTCCTGACTTGTTGGTTGGGATCCTCAGGACGGTAAACACCAATGAAGGCTGGAAACAATTGGTGATGTGGCTCAAAATCATTCTCAATGTCTGGTGCAGATGTATCCGCTCCTTGTGACTTATAATACCCAATAAATCTTTATTGTTTTTCGATACTACTATTTATTTTTTCTTATATCCCTGTTTACTGTCTCTATTTTGCATTTCCTTTTACTTTCTTCTCTGGCTTTGTGTGCTGAGTGAAGTCTGGCGGCTCGAACTGCTGCACATCGATGCAAAGTTCTCTATGTTGAAACCAGCCAGTCAATCGCATATCATTGTGAGTACAAAAGTTCTTTCGACAGTGAAAGGTGTCGAAAAGCACGTACGATACAACACTATGTTTATGTGCATATGTTATCCTCCTATCAACTCCCTTAATATACTTGTTTGATATCACCAGAAAATTGTTAGAAAGTCAAAAGATAACTGGGTTTGATCGGTCAAACCAGAGAGTATATTTCGGGATCAGTAACGTTGGGTATTGGTGTTTTGCTGACTGCAGATCGTACAAGAACAATCGAATGTAACATGACAGAGTCCTAACTGTCTTAGAAGTGTGTGGGCCGTTGTTACTTCCCGGTTACCCACACCGTCAAAGTTGGTTGAATCTTTTGGTACCTGAAACAGAAAGAGGGTTAGTGTTGCGTGGTAGCAGAGCCCAGGGGACAACTGCTTGAGGCGAGCCGGTCACACACGGTCTGTATGAACTGGTTTCTTGGTTTGGTTCTGTATTAGTAAACTTACCGCCGGTTACGGACCACCGTAAGTCGGGATGTACAATTGTTGGGGTCGACCTTTTCTAACCCCTTCTCTCCAGAGTGAAGAGACAGCATAGCTGGCTGGCATGCTGGTCATCTGAGGGAAACACCTCACTGCTGTTACATCCCTGTTCCCCATCAGTACGACTTCGCTCACAGATCCCCCAGCATAGTGTAGAAAAAATTCTTACACAATGCCGATAACTGCTTTTCGTCTAATCGCTATCCTAACAACCCTCCTGGCATGGTAGGACCTGCAGGAACAATAGTTCCAGCCAGTGTAGCTTGTTGGATCATTGCGATGTGCAAGCCCGAGACCACCACGTCAAGGTAGCAGCTATCGGTCGGGCTAATCCCTAACACTTTTATCAAGGTCTGATTAACAACTGAAGAATAGTTCGAACCCCTTTTCGTCATATATATGCATTGATAGTTACACACCTACACATCTTCCTTCATTTCTTATATATGTGTAGACATTTTGACCGTTAATTTCCTTGTAGTTAATTATGTCTTTATACAAAGTTTCTTTTTACCTATTTCTTTCATTGAAGATGTTTGCTTGTTCTAAATGCGGTGGACTAATACACGCTGATTTAGTTCGAAATATTCCTGGCTCCACAGCATCAGATAATTCAAATACTCCAACGGATTCAAATCAATGGTGTTGTCGATTATGTGACAGTGACAATCGAGGCTCATTGTCATCTGGGCAGAAAGAAAAGAATACACTGAAATCTGTTCAAGTCTCAGCTGCATTCAGATATCTTACCTATGAATTGGCTTGTCTGAATGTGAAAACTCGATTGTCACTAGCTGATCTTGATTAACTTTTGTTAATAATAGAAAATTTTTTATTATATTCTATTGAAAGTGTGTTGTTTTTTTGTCCTCTAGCAAGCAGTTTTTGACCAACAGGTTGATTCGTGGTGTTTTTATTCCTTGGCGTTTTGTATGAAACACAGGACTTCAATCTTAAGTTATATTAGCAGTGGTGCTTTTTGGTTGTACGGTGTTGTTGTTAACCGCACGTCCAGCCTTCTCTCTCTGCCAGACTTTAATATCGTCTGAGCGGCGTTTAGGAGTTTGTCGACCGTGGATCAAACCGCGGACTACCTGTGCGGTTGACTCACGATTGGTGTTTAGCCTCCGTAAAATAGTTATATTCATGTAACCATGTTTTATATGACAAAAATTTAGTCATCTTTTACGCATTTATTCGATTCTTTACATTCCAGATGAGATATATGACTTCAAACTTCCAATTCTCAGTACTGATGGTGTTGTGCTTTTATGCGGTGGCTTTGATAGCCTCACCTACACTCGTTTCCCTATTTTTTTGGACTTACCATCTCCTGGCGAGACAGTCAAAGTTTATGGTAGCGCACCAGTTGGCAGTCGAAAGCCGACCATCTAACTGGCTGACGAGCCTTCTACTGTCATTGAACCACTGATGTCTTCTGATTTCACTTTATGCAATACATTAAAATCTCATCCTATGTGTTAATTAGTCAAACATTGCAACACTCTTCAGTTGTAAGTGTAACTGCAGAGCCCTATTTAACCCGAGTTTTCGAAATCTAGGCACTGTCATCGGTGGTTCAATAGTCCAGGCTACTTAAGTGGTCCGCGACTCGATCACCTGTCAACGCATTCCTAAATCTCCCTTTGCACCATATCCCACACAGAACGCAAAAGAATTAATTAATTATTATTAGGTATTATCACTGTCAACGGAATAAATTTGAAAGGGGTCACTTCCTTCATTTATCTAGGCAGTATCGTTTCAACTTTAGGCGAACGGCACGGATAAGGATCTCAAAACTAGAGTCAGAAGACCAAGGCAGACATTCATCACTCTGAAATCAGTTTGGAAATCTTCTGCACTCGGCATAAAGAATAAAACTCGAATTCTCAACACCAATTTTAAGTCAGTTCTTCTACATGCTTCAAAAATTTGGCGCGCCACTCTTCAAACTTATATCTTTAGCTGCCTTCGGTCCACATTGAAGATCAAATAGCCAGAAATGTTTAGCAACAAGGAACTCTGGGAAAGAACCGATTGCTCAAAAAATACGCCAAAGAAAATGTTGGTGGATCGGATACATGCTGAAGACGCCAACAGGTGACGTTGTGCACCAAGCTCTAGAGTGGGAAACGACTGGTTAGACGTCCGAAGGAGATACGGAAAAGATGAAAGCTTTTGTGCAATCATAGGTCCTGCTCAAGAAGACTGCAGCGAATAGGAAAAAATGAAGCTGTGTTACTAAAGCTGTATGTTCCAATGGGATTCCAAGAGAATGGTAATATAATAGAACTTTCGCTAACCAAAGTACACGTCGTCCAGGGACCGTGTGAAGTGGTATAGTAGGGTGAACAATATTGAGGTTAGACGTCGAGTGTTAGGTAAGTGGGGAGGGGAAATCAATCGACTAGGCTGTGAAGCTACATCGATTGAGATGGTTAGGACATGTGTTACATACACAAGCCTAAGCATCATCTTCCTCGACCGACGAGCAATGTAAGCTGACATAGGGTCAGGCTGGAAGACAGCAGGCGGCGGTCAAACCAAAACATGGCACCAGTCAATAAAATCCACAACATTTAGTTTAAGTCAGTCACGTAGGGAGGTGTAGACTTCCTAACATGTTGGTTGGGATCCTCGGGACAGTAAACACCAATGCAGGCTGGAAACAATTGGTGATGTGGCTTCAAGCCGTTCTCAATGGCTGGTTCAGATGCATCTACTCCTTGTAATTTATTATACCCAACGAAACTACATTGTTCTTCGCTATTACTATTCCTTTTGTCTCATATTCCTGTCTACTGTCTCTATTTTGCATTTCTTCTCTAACCTTTGTGTGCTACAAGGAGGAAATGTGGCGACTTGAACTGCTGCACATCGGTGCAAAGTTCTATGTTGAAAACAGACAGACAGACGTCCGGGGCCCGACTACTGGTCAACGCACTCCTAAACCTCGCCTAGCTGGTAGTAAGCCTGGAAAAGAGGAAAGGTTGGGCATAAGACTAATTATCCTATCCCTTAGAAAAAGATACCAATGCTACCGACACTTCGAAGCAGAAGTGTGAATCTCTGTATTCCACTGAAAACGCAAAGGAATTAATTAATTAATTACCACTAGTAGATATTATCGTTTTTGATCATGCATACATACTAACTACATCGGCCTTACTCGTATTGTGGTGAGAGCTGTCTGCTAGCCAAAATTGGTAGACAGCAGTTTACGTCAATGTTTACATCCCAAATCTTGGTCATGAGAAAAAAAACAAAGACTAACTCAACAACCAATCACAGCAGACTTGGCGTGGGCGGATACGATTAACAGACACATATGGTCTGACTTTCAAGGAAACGACTACAAAGAGATGACAGATTAACTTCCAGTGAGAAAACGACCAATCAGAAGACGCTGTTTCTCTGTTAACAGTAACGCTAATAATAATGTACATAAAAATCTATAAATATTCGTTGATTTCCTCAATTAACGACCTGTTGTCTTCTGTTCTTACAGTAGTATCTATGTTGTTGAATAATATTTAATTAGAATTAGGCTTATTATTGTACAGTGTTGTACAGCTACATTTTCGAAAACTGCTCGCTTCCAAAATTTCTATTACTATGAAAACAACTACGCTCGGCCGGTAATTTGTTTTTTGTCATCTGATAGTATTAAAATTTTATAATCAATACAGTTTGCTTTTGTCTTTCTGCTTCATTTTTTATTGATGAATTTTCACAAGAAACAGTTGAGGATTTGTTTGTCGTATTGTATTAATTATATGCGAATATCGAATTAATTCATCAGTCAGCTCAGATTGTGATAATCCTGTAAGTAGACAATAAACAAAAAAGGAAGATGAGGCTAAATTAACTGTCAATGGAAATTCTCACGTTGCACTGTGTGTAATTCCATATTAGTTTGTTTATTAGATATATCACACAGTGAAACAGTATTATTTACTGGATGACGTTTCGAACACAATCTAGTATTGTTCATAATCATATCAATTGTAATCACACGACTTTGACGCTTGAGTTTTATAGTTTTCTTTGTTTTCTCCCATTTGTCGTCGCTGGGGTGGTAGAATTTTCCAGATAACGGGAACAGGTGTTGAATTATTCCTATTACACGTATTCTCTCCCAGTTGATTCGATAAATAAAGCTTCTGTTATCAATCTCTCCCTATACCCTGTGACACTAGATTTTAAGACTGTCATCTTATCCTACCCAGCCTATTGTATGGTTGTGTGTAATTGCATTTAGTGAGTGGTGTAGCTGAACTATTCTCTAGATTTCTTATCTTATTCGGGTCAACTAATATAGATTCTGTTAGATTTTTATGCTCGGCTAGTCTGACTGACTGACTCTGTTCTACTACTTTGATCTATGTATTTGACCTGACAATCATTGCAGGTAGGGTATTAGATAAACTTAATTGTTTTGTTTTAAAAGCTCTACAGAACCCTTTAACCGACAAAGCTTGTTTCTAATTCTACTACCCATACGACAAATAGGAGAGAACAAAGAAAACTATAAAACTCAAGTTTCGAAGTCGTGTGATTACAATTGATATGATTATGAACAATACTAGATTGTGTTCGAAACGTCATCCAGTAAATAATACTGTTTCACTGTGTGATATATCTAATAAACAAACTAATATGGAATTACTTACTACCACAGTGCCCATGTTTTACACATATATTGATTGCACTGTGTGTGTTGTCACACACTGACATTCATACTTGCTGTAAAACTACATCTAGAAAACACAAAACTCAATGAAATGTTATTCTCTTTTGTTTGTAAACATTCCCCAGTAGGAATGACTCTTTGCATTATCATATCTTCGTTTTGAAGCATTGCAACTCTGTGATGTATTTTTTTACACTAAAACACAAACTTAGTCCATTGTCGGCACCGCGTAAAGTTATCGCTTAGTTTATACGAGGGTTGGGTTACTGTCCGGACGCCCAGACCGAAGTCGATAGTTGTCTTAAGGAGCTACCCGCGAACCTATGACTTGAGGTCTAACCCATAAGACAGTGGAGCTACTTTCCTATGGTTGATGGTGATCAAAATAGGTTAGTTCCTTTCGGATTCTGCAGCCCGTGTATACCATAGTTTTGAAATTAGGGTTTTAATGCTCCCTCTGGGTAAGCCTGCACGCTCGCCAGTCCAGTTGTAAGTACCTGAGTTTCGTTCCCTGTCTCGTAAAGACAGTGAGTAGGACTTACTTAGTAGAGGCTGTGAACGTGAGGCCACTTGAGAGAGCATTTCGAGAGGCAAACCAAAATCTACCCACCCTCGGGTGTACCCGGGGTGATGATGACATCAAACATTGGAAGCCTCCCACCCGCCCCGACCGTTTATGAATTCCTGAATCACAGAGGAATTGAATTGCCTCCATGTATGAGTTGATGTGTTCGAGAAATCTGTTGATATCTTGTGTTTTCAATACTGTGAATGTTTCACCTCCACTAAACTTTTTGGGTGAAATTGAACGTTTCAATCACTAAGGAAGGCAAGAGAGAGAAGCACACTGTTTCACTAGTACTAGTAAATTACAGAAAGCAGACGTTGTAGAAATAGTAGATTTTATTCCACTTCTTTGTAGTATATTAGATTTCAACGGACAACCTGTACATTTGGAGCAGAACACTACCGGTAACTACTATACACCGTCACGACCAAATTAGACCTAGGGGTTATGCACAATTCATTATATGTAGGGACTTTGACTCTCTACTCTCCTGACCTGTGATGGGGCATCGAAGTTGGCTGACCATTATCTGAACGAGGTGATTGAGATCCCAAGCGATGTTACTGGGTGGAAAGTCAACTTGATGTACGATCAAACTCACATTTTTGAATAAACCTTCTCAAGAGAGATTGTCAAACAACCGCTATAACTGTTTATTAACCGAAATAACACATTAACATGAATTCTGTGGTTACAGGCGAAGTAGATATGTGGTGAGAGCTGTCTGCTAACCGAAATTGGTAGACAGTAATTTACGTCAATGTTTACATCCCAAATCTTGGTCATGGCAAAAACGAGAACAAGGACTTTGGGTGGGCGGATACGATTAGTAGATATGTGGTCTGACATTCAAAGAAACGACTACAAAGAGATGACAGATTAACTTCCAGTGAGAACACGACCAATCAGAAAATGCTGTTCCTCTGTTAATGATAACCAATACTAATGTACATAAAAATCTATAAATATCTGTTGATTTTCTCAATAAACGATCTGTTGCCTAGCCCTTGTCTTATGTCGTCACAGATAGATTATATGCAGTGCTCATTGATAGGAGGAGCAATCAGCTACTGACACCAACGACCAGTAGCACCGTCCAGTGTTATCAGGGTGTACAGTCGTAACACTGATGGTAGGGGAAGTGTTGAAACCTCAGCAGAGTATGGTGCTTTTTTAGATATCGGATAAATGACAAAGATACGTAGAGCGAAGCAGTCATTACTGACGGTGTTGCTCACAAGACACTGTTCGATTGTCATTGTCTCTGTTACACTTACAATTCGTATCAGTAACTAGGAGCATACAAGAACCGACTTACGTGGTTGTATACCGTGGCATTGTTCTTCAACCAATTGTTTATTTGAATCTGTGTATTGGTGACGAAACAGATTTCTGTGAATGGCAAAGCATAACAGAAATAGTCAGTATTTATTTTAATTATGTGTGTTTTAGAGGAGAGAGGAAAAAACTACTTACCTTCCCACTGTTCTTATTTTTCTGAAGCATTTAGTTTGTTTGTTCCTGGAGGTAGTTATTGCTAGAACATTATCGTTTTCGTCTCCACTGCTGGTTTCTCTGAAATCATCATCTGTGTTTACTGGCATACATTTGTCATCTTGAATACTCTTTCTCACAGGCTGTAAAGCACATATTTGAGTGCAATAATATTCACTATATCATAGTTAATGATGAAGATATAAAGAAAAGAAAAAAAAAATTTTAACCCCATTAAAGTTGGGAACAAATGTCAAGAAAAACCGTCAGGTACCACGAAAGCACATAGATGTAAATAGATACTGAGAAACCAAGTGCCATTTTACAATTGAAATGAGGATAAAGCATAAATATGTCTGGGTCACTGGATTCACTTATCAGCTAAATCCAGACGGTTGCACCGTTGACCTACGGCTAGGAAACAAGTAACTTCAGACGCGACAGATGATTTGATGCTATGCCTTGATTAAAAAACTATTATTTCAGTAATTACAGAGGTGATATATGCATCAAGAATGCTTGCCAACCACCCGATAGGCCGTAAATCACGACTTGTTTACTAGCCAGCAGAACGTCCGGTAAAGAGGGAAGGTTGACAGTGAGACGAAATAAACTGACCGGCAAAAACAACGTGATGGCTATCGAAACTTACAGTTGGAACGCAAAGAAGTGAGACAGAGAGAGGGGAATAACCAGTTCACTATAGGTGACGAAAATTTCAAGTGGAAGCTGTTTACTCAAAAAAGTAAAGGCACATTGCAAACTGTTACCATTATCCTAGACAACCGACGAAACAGCAAACAATGAACTCAACACAAGCAAACAATCAAAGATTCACTGAGAAGATAATATTTCTTCATTGACTGCTCGGGCTGCTTTCGCTAACTTACACCGTCTCTGGCGTAGGCGTGACATCCGGCTATCAACCAAGGGACGTGCGTACTGCTCAGAAGTTCGCTCCGTCCTTCTCTATGGCTCTGAAACATGGCCAATACGAGTTGAAGACATGAAAAGGTTGACTGTTTTTGATCATAGATGTCTACGATCTCTTTCTCACGTTAGGTGGGATAATAAGGTAAGTAATGTTGACGTTAGGCGTAGAGTATTGGGCAAAGAGGGAAAATCAATCGAAGAGGCTATAAAGTTACATAGATTGAGATGGTTAGGTCACGTGCTGCGCATGCCTAACCATCGCCTCCCCCGACGGACGGGCATTACTAGCTGATATAGGTGCAGGTTGGAAAAGAGTAAGTGGTGGCCAAACAAAAACATGGCATCAATCAATCCATGAAATCCTTGACAGTTAAACTGAGTCAGGTAGGGAGATGCAAACTTCCGGGTTGGGGCCCTCGGGACTCTAAGAATCAATGGCTGGAGACACTAGGTGACATGGCTCAAAATCGTTGTCAATGGCTTACGCAGATGTATTCAGTCTCTGTAATCTTTCATATTCCTTTCTACCATTACTCATTCTGTTTCACTCTTATACTTGTCAAAACTCTATTGATTCTCTTCACCCATCTTCTTGTCTACCTTTGTGTGCTATTTGGAACGTGGCAACTCGAACTGCTGCACTTCGGTGCCAAGTTCTATGTTGAATCCAGCCAGCCATTGACAGAGAAATATTCTCCTAACACTCAAACACTCGTAAAAGACATGGAAGCAAAAGTTTCATAGTGTGAAATTCAATCTGTGAATCATCACATCCGAATGTCGAAACATGTATGGTAACGGAATGCATCTCTGTAATCCTACTAGTTATTTCTGCGCATATGGTAGCGACTATTTTCCCATTTGTGTGAAAAATGATGTAGGCCAATTTCGTTGTCACATTCCAATAGGTCTGAATTATAGATTGAATGGTCATACAAATTTCAGTTGCAATCTGTGTTCTTCCTGCATCATTCTGGAGTGCGGCTTCTCACCGTCGTTAACTGTGAAAACCAACTCCACACAGAGATCACGTACATTGCAACGCCAATTCACGCCGAAATATTTAGACTAATCACACGATTTTCGACACAGCAATTCAGTGTAGTGTCATTTATGTGCAAAATCTATGAGTGTGACAATCTGCTGAAAGGTAAATTCAACCCCGGATTTCTACAAATTAACCTCAGCAGTCCTATTTCCATTGTAAGTATCACACTCGAAGGCAAGATCTAGGTACTGGAACTTTAGTCATTCTTGGTTGCTTGTCTAATCAGCATTTAGCTTCATATGCAAAGTAGTGTCAACAATGGACTCACTTTTGTTGGTATGCCTTCTTTTAGAAAATGCTTGAATGGATATTTGATACGGACATTCATTTCTTTTGTAAGCATTGTTTTCCTATCACGAAAAAGTGAAGCGTAGAAAGAAGGAATACATTCAATCATATTAAAGATCATTTAGTTTATGTGGGAAAATAATGTTCCATCATGTGTTGCTTCAACTCATCATCATTAAGGGACAATCCAAGGGTATGTTTAGAACAATAAGTGAGACGTCCTACACTCATCTGATGGTTGTACAAAAGATCGAGAATTTTTATTTGTGTATTTCAGCTATTTTGAAAGTTAAATAATATGAAGCAACAGCTTAAAAGACTTTTAAATTTAATGTGCTATCAGGCCAGTAACGATTCTGAAGCATTATTAATTTTTACACTTATTGTATGAAATAAACTTCATCAAGACGAAAACTGAGGTTGACAGGGCAAAGTTAAAGTCGCATAGCCAAAACTACAGTGATCTATACGCAGATGACTTAAAAATCTGGAGAGAGCTGAAGGGCAACAGTGACACGTCCACGTTGCAAGAGGACCTCAACAAATTGTCAGAGTGGTCCAGAGAATGGATGCTTCCGATCAATGTAGTGAAATGTGCAACCATGCGCATTGGACATGCAAGCATCAGCTCCTACGAACTAGAGGGAATAACACTCCCATCAGTTCAAACTCATTTGGATTTAGGTGTCATAGTTAGCCACGACTTAAAAACTACAGCACACTGTCACGCAGTGGCTGCACGTGGTTTCACATCCTTATGGGCAATTCGCAGAGCTCTTACTAGAATCACCAGAGATATTTTCACCTACTTAAATACATCTCTGATGAGGTCAAGACTAGAAAACTGTATCCAAGCAGCCAGCCCTTTTCTTAAAGGGGACTCACACATTCTAGAAAGGGTCAAAGGAAGGCAACACGTATGGTTCTCGGCATGACTAACTTATCATACGAGGAAAGACTAGACAGTTTAACTCTTTACTCCCTGTCATACCGTAGACAGAGAGGAGATTTAATCACAATGTTTAAAATTTTAAATAATGACTACGGACCTGACCTATTCTCTCTTTTCCTTCCCACCAGGTCAGAACACCTTAGAGGACATAGCAGGAGAGTTCGAATGCCAAGAAGAAATCATATTGCTGTTGAGTACTGGTTCCCACATCGAGTCATAAACTCTTGGAACCGACTCCCCGAAGAAGTGGTGTCTGTAACCCCAACCGACTCATTCAAGAAGAGTTTGAACAAGCACAAAAATTTACTAACATAGACTCCAAGCTATCTGGCCTCAACCAATAAATCTGAAATCTGACCTTGAACGAAAAGTCGTATAATTGTTGAAAAATGCACTAAAAACATTGCAAACATGATAGCACACTATAAAAACGTCAATTATACGTTGTAATAATGTCTACGAGTCACTACACAGATTATCTATAGAGAAATCACACCATGCAGCATAGATGCATTCAGGTAGGCGACTGTAGGTTATGGAACTTTGAGATCTATTAATACTTCTAACAATGTCCTTTAACCGAATCCTAACTACAACCATAAGCCTGACTCTCAATTATAACTTTAACCCTAATCCTAACCAAAACCCTAGACCCAAAGGCTTAATCTTAAAAGCCATAACCCTACCTAACAGTATAGACTTACAGAAAAAGTAACTAGATAATAAGTGGAATTCTCTATCTACCTTCTCCAATCTCAAAAAGACATGATTTTATTTAGAATGACCTTTCACAGCATTCTCTTTATCTGAGAGGTTCTTTAAGGTAAACTTTGAAAGACCTTGGCTTTGGCTGTAATAATTAAACTTCGCTTGTTTTTTATTCAAAGTAAAATAACCTGTGATCCCTAAAATATATTAGAAGTAAAGGAGAGCAAGTTGAACGAAATATCCGAATGTTTTCAGGAATAGATAATCTCTACCAGAGGCTCCTAAGGTTAGGTATGTATACAGCCCAATTGAAAAAAGTTTGACAGCCTGAAGTTCCTGGTTACAAACTCATTAAGAATGGAATTGTCCTAAGATGATTAGACCAACCAGCTAACCGTGACTTTAAGCAGTAACTATGGTAACCATGACCTTGAAAGCATTTTGAATTGCTTCCTACAATTGTTCAATATCTAAAAACTAATTAATGACTCGATATACACTTAACTGATTTCTCTGAACTCATAAATTGTTGGCCAGGTAATGGTTATTATATTCAAAATGACAACAGTGGCATATAAGGTAATCTGAAGAAATGGATTATTGAATGTCATTTTCACGAGCTGCGTAAATCAGTTTGATTTCTTTAGGATCGCTTCTTGGTTGCTAGGTGAGCGTTTCTGGTCTGCAGCAAACTTCTGCGTAGTTCATTACGTCACGTGACTGTCGTACTTTTGGTTGACTCCAAAAGAAGTGGTGCTGGGATTAATTATACTATGTATTTAGTATGCCGTGTGTTAAGGCCGTGTGGCTACTGTGAATGGAGTTCATCCTTTCATCATTTAGTCGTCCGGTGTCGTCGACGAACGGAAATGGATGATAATAATAACAAATATAATTAGTGTAGGTTATGCAGATTAAAAGAAAGAATAATCAAGAATGAAAACGAAAATACAGACAGCTAATGAAATTTGGAGCTGATGTATGTACACATGTGTATAAATACCAATAATAATATTAGTGTAACGGGTATGATAGTTGAAGTAGTCAGGATAGTACGATAAGACAAGATATTAAGAAGTAAAACGGTGTGTTTAGATGTCTGTCAGTTAATAGTGCTTGAGATTTTAAGGGAATAGGCCGTTTAGACTCAGTCCTTTTGAAGTTGCATGGCTGTCCAGCCTTCGTTGAAGCTGTCCACAGACGGTGCCGTAGCTACATCCGCCGATAAGGAGTTCCAGGGACTGCCAACTTGCAGTGTAAAGAAATGAGAGGGCACTAGAATCTTTACCCTCTGATGAACATTCAGAGCCTGTTCAGAGAGAATATATGACTGTCAGGGACAGGTTTCAACGAACCCCCCCCATCTTTTGGAGCTGCACTGTGCCAGGATGTTCAGGTAAGACTGACTTTGATAAAAATGTCTGCTGTCCATGTTGTCTGAAAACAAATGAGAGCGACGAGTCGCCACTACTTATTTTCTCTTTTATTTGGTGGTGAACATAACGCTGTTGGTCTGAAACTCATCACATTTTGCCGACGACCAAACATAAGAGGGGAAAGAAGAATGGCTCCTATTGCTGTTCCGAAATTTTTTGAGATTGTGTGGTAAGTCAATAAGCACTCTTAGAGGGATCCTCCCATTGCTCCAAAACTGGTGACTGGGAATCATCGCAATCCGTGGGAAATGTCACCCCAGGTAAGAAATGTTCTTTTTCGGTATAGTCGACTTTAATATAACAAACAAGACTGAACGGCATGCAACGCTAAGTACTCTCAAGTAACTAGATCGAAAGTTGTGACTGCATAGTCTCTGGTGTCTACAGTGAACGGTTTGAATTTAACTCATTTCTGAAAACTTTCCACCCAGTGCCACTCCCTTGATTACTGGTCACCACATTCCGACATTGCCTGGCAGATATCGATTGATTATCTCCCATCTCAGGTATGGGGTCAAACGCCAACCTCCACACTTAGTGACCTTTACATAATCTACGGTCTATTTCATAGTGACCGTGAGTGACGATTTCTGACCTTGTCTTGTATCAAATAGGTGACACCCAGTTTATGTTTAATGTAGCTGAAAGTAATGTTGCAACATATTTGGCATAAGGATTGAGTGAGTTTCAGCTACGTCGTATATGTGAATAGCAATGGCTTACTAACATATATATCAACCCGAACAATCTTTATTGCTTACTATATCTCTTAAGCAGATACGCATCGTTCATAATGATTATATAGACGTCAGCAGAAGGAGGCTGTTACGTTTTTGCCAGTATCTCTTTCTTGAAGTTCACGTAGGAGCTTAGGGTCGTGCGTTCAACCACTGTTTCTCTTAGCCTCATAACGTCGCTAAACAGGTAACCCCCCTGCTTCGCTGTGAGGTAAGTAGCTCAAGAGAGACAACGAGTTGAGTCCCTCGCTTGTATCCGCTTTCCCCTGAGTCTTCCAAATAAAGGTTGATGAAGCCTATTACTTCGTTTCTTATTTTTAATAATAATAATAATGATTTACTTTATTCCAAAAACAGTACTTGTGATACAGAATGGAATTTTCAGCATTAATCACAATATTGCATCTAATTTCCTCAAATTATAAATAAAATTAATCACATAGAAAATTTTTCTACATTTACAATAGGGTTAATATAAAAAAATAAAAAACATGCAGCATATAAAATGGAAATAATAATAATGATAGCAGCTAAGGTAATGATAATAATACAAGTGGAAATTGCCGTGGGATTGTTTCACACAGTACTGTCGATGCGGTATACAAATCCTTGCATGATTAAAAATATTGAATATGATGTTCTCTTTACATGATATGGTGAGGGAAAAAACAAAGATTACAGCAGTCATAGAGATAAGTTGGTGTTTGCAGTTATGAAAGTGAAAACAAAGAATCAACAGGACCATAAATATAATAGAAATAATAAAAGTAAAACTTGAAGGTATATAAAGATGGATAGAGGAGATTGTTTATTTACTAGATGAAAAAAGGTTAGTCAATTCTTGCCTGACGCTATTTTCATCACATAAAATACGTGCCAAGTATGGTATCATAGAATTTTTATACTTAGACGTGCGAGCATACAGTTTTCTGAAGTTACTTCTCGTTCTACCTGAGGAGATGCAAGGTGAAAGCTGAGGGTGAAGTGGATGCTCCAAGTCAGACAAAATCCCTTTAGCAAATTTACTGCACGAAGTCAAATGCCTATCGACAACGACGTTAACTATGTAGTCCACCGGGACACCACTAATTCTACTGACAGTCTTCAGCATTCTACCAATTGTGACAAAGTCCTTTTTAAGCAAACCAGGAAAGAATAAGGGTGAACAATAAAGAAGAATAGGTAAGATGCAAGAGTTTATGAACTGTAAGAGGAGGGGTTGAGTTATACCCCAGTGCCTTAACTTCTTAATGTAAAATGTCAGGCGGAATATTTTACTGGAGATCGCTGAGACATGGGAAGACCAGGAGAGATCAGAAGAGAGAATAAGTCCAAGATACTTAATTTCTGATTTAATTCCTATATCATTGTCATCAGTCTTAACTGTCATGAGAATCGACGGCTTCTTTTAACTGTCGTTTACATCTTAAGCTGAAATTAACAGTTTGACATTTAGAAGGATTCAGTTTAAGACCGTTAGACTCAGACCATTTACTGACTCCCGACAGAAAGCTATTTATTTTGGTACAATCTAGCTGGGGGTTAACAGCCATTGAAACAGTTAAGTCATCAGTGTACTTCACAAAGTTTATTTCATCAGACTGAGGCAAGTCATGTAAGAAGAAAGAAAAAAGAAAAGGAGAAAGGACAGCGCCTTGAGGGACACCAGCTTCAGTAGGCAACGAAGTGGAAGACTTCCCTTTATACACGGTGTACTGCTTTCTTTCTGAGAAATAAGAGTGTAACCAGTTAACAGCCCAACATTCTGTTTGACTTGCAGCAAGTTTATTTGATAAGATGTCCCGAGGGACCGAGTCAAAAGCAGATGTATAGTCTAGGAAGGCACAACGAACAAATTTAGCCCCTTTGTCTAGACTGGAAGCAATGTTATGATATAAGACGGCACCTGCATCTAAAGTGCTTCTACTGTGCTTATAGGCAAACTGTTTTGGGTCATTAAAGGATTTAAGAGAGGGTACAAGACTAAGTAAAAGTAGTTTCTCCATAGTTTTCAAAAAAGGAGAGTCTAAATTTGACACATGCTCCAGTAGACGATATAGGTACGGGTACAACTTTAATGTCTTTCCAAACAGCAGGTACAATGTTACTGGAAAAAGATTTGTTAAACAGATCAGTGAGAGGGTAACATAGAATATCAGAACACTTTTTGAAAATAATACTAGGTACATGATCTGGACCTAAGCTCTGGGAAGGGTTCAGAGACTTGAGGCACTTTTGAATATCATTTGCGTTAAAACCTGGAAAGGGGCTATAATTAACACTAGTGATACTGGGAAGCATGGAATTTGAGGGAGAATAAATAAAAGATTTATTAAGAGTACATACATCAGAAGAATACGGAATATTGTTTATCTGCTTACCACCAGTGATTTCCTTAAATAGTTTCCACATATTTGAAGCATTTTTGCAGGATATGAATTTCTGGTTATATATAACATTCAATCTCTGCATTTCAGACTTGATAAGGAAGTTAGTTCTTTTTACGCCACATTTATCTTTCATTTTATATAGCTTTTCCTTCTCTCTACGCAGCTTTTTAAGTTGAGGGGAGGAGAAACGGTCGAATTTGACGAATAGTGTTTCTTTTGGGCAGCAGATTTCAAAACAGAATTTCAGATAAGACGTAATATTAGAGATTGTGTCATCAAGTGAAACACCATTAAACAGATCCCATCTTGTGTCACTGAGCATGTTTCTAAGATGTTGTACATTCTCATTTGAGTAACATCTGTGAACAACTTTCTTGGACAAGTTAGAGAAGGCTTTTTGTGTAACTTTCCGTAAACTTTGGGTAGAACTCGTACAATACAGTGATCAGAGTTTGAGAGTGGAGCTCTTTTACGAGCTTCGTATATTCCAGAATCATTTATGAATACTAAATCAAGCGAAGTATCTTGTCGAGTTGGGAAGTTAACCACATTTTCATGACCCAGCAATGTAATAAAACTGTAGTCACTG